GCACCATGCAAATGGTCTATGAAAAGTGGAGTGACCTTGGTCATCCGTTTACTTCAGCGTTACTTATGAATTTTTGCTTAAACGACAAGGGCTGAATCCTGCTTGGTGATACTAGGGCATTCATCTCCCTGTGAATTATAAAATCTCCTTTCATGCAAGGGCAGCAGGCACGTGGCACCAGAGAGTGGCAGCAGGATCCAACTCTTGCATTATTCCTTTGTAATGATTTTTTTTTAAGTAGTAATGCTGTCAGGGTAGAGGGGATGGAGAATTGGAGCTGTTTAATGCAGTACAGGGCTGGGTAGGACACAGAGTTAATTCTTGTCTTTCAACTACAGAGATTTGGTTTCAAAGCTAGCTTGGGTCACAAATGAAATGGACTTGCTACTCCTAATCAGGTCCCCCATGGACACTCTTCCACTTCACACAAACAGTGCACAGTTGGGCATGACAGTCTCTGCTCAAGAGAAGCCTGAAGCTGTAATGGGAAGGTTGAGAGTCTGAATTGAAATGCAGAGTTAGATAAGAGAAGCACTGGGTTAAAACATTAATCTGGCCTCTTCTGAGGTCATCCACTTGGACCTGACAAGTCTCTCCTGGTCTCACTCCAGTGCTTTTTAGCAGCAAATAGCTGCAGTCCTGTTAACATACCTAGTGACATACTCTGCTAGTATCGCACACCTAGCAAAAAACTGGAAATGCCATCATTACAAACACAACTGAACACATGGGCCTGGTTCTGAAACCAAGGAAATATTTAACAATACATCAGAACTCCGTAGAACAGGTTTTATTCAGATGTCTGCTGTGAAGGGAAAGGTTCCAGCAATTTTAAATACAACTGTAGTAAAATGATTGAGACACAGATTTAAAAAAAATAAGGTAATTCTGCAGCCTGGTGCGTCATTGCTTAAACTATGGGGTAGTGCTGCGTTGCACTCTTTTTAGCCACTGTGCAATATTGTGTGAAGGCAAGAAAGGGGCACGAAAGAGACGAGAGTAGCTAATAGCAGCCGAGGGAGGAGTAAGACACTGGGGTGCAGGAAGCAGAAAATGTAAATCCTGAGGCATTTGTTCCCATTGTTCTCTGACTTCCTCTTACAACTTCTCCCCAGAGGCACTGGTAGCTTCTGAATCTTCTTCCTTCACTGTATCTAGACAGACTGTTACACTTTCCTGGCTCTGTGTAGGTCTGGAGACTACAAGGTGGAGTGTTATTTCTTGTGGATAGAAGAGAAGGTTGGGACTCATGAGTTCTATTCCCAGCTCTGTCACTTGGGCAAGTCCTATCGCCTCTCTGCACCTTAGATTTCCCCGTTGTATAAAACCACGATAATATTTGCCTACCTCACAGGTAAACTGGGACTTAATTAAAACAGAGTCTCCAATGTCTTTCAGACTATCCTGTGTCAGAAGTGTGTAGTACTAATATCATTACAGCTGTTGTTTTGTCATAGCAAGTCACAGTCTGGTCATGGTGAACATAAAGAGTCAGATCTATAGCAAAAGATTCCAAAGGTCAGTTGTGCAAAATACAGATTGAGTAAGTTTAAGACATTTACAGTCATTAACAGCAAAACACCATATGTCTTAAGGCCCAAATTAATACAATGCACAATGGTTTAATGAGGTACTATATCATTACATGGGCAGGCCATATTCACAATAGGCTGCAGTGTGTACTTGTGAGGAACAGAGGTGGATGTTGGTGTTAGGCAATGAAAATAGCTTAAAACTATTAGTGGATTAAGGGGGTAAAACTTCAAGCAACTCCATTGTGGCTCTGTTTTTTAAATCATGGGATCGGTGCTCCTCCCTGGGACGAAGTGGTAGCTTGTATCATGATCCCCGGTAGCTCTCTAGATCAGCATCGTATCAAAGTCCCAGGCCATTAAACTATTGTACATTAGGTGGATTTGCCTGGGGTTTGATGGGCTTTTCCTGTTATTAAACAGCAGCTTGCCGTCTGCTCGTGGACATTTTGATAGGCTTTCTGTTTAGGAGCAGTTCTGCTCATAAAAGAGAAATTTGCATGAAAACACTTTCTAGTACACTGTAAGGCTCTATAATCACACCACTTACGAGTGACGGGCTTGGTAGCACGTCAGTGTACTGAATATGCCCTTTTTCCTTGTTACTGTGACATCTCAGCACAATAACTGATGCTCCCAGACTTCCTCCTCTTCCCCTACAGATCTTACAAAATCAGCTACACTTTGCCATTTGCTGGCAGTGTCATACCCACCATGGGAGCCCAGCCACATGGGCATGCCAGATCCATTTTGTCTCTAAAAATGTACAGTTTTATTGTCCTGGGGTAGGTATTTTGGGAACCAGACACTTCCTGTGCACTTACAGAATGGCTCCCAGGGTCCATGTGAAATCTCCAGAATAGCACTTGCTGGGTTGGGAAATGGCAGTTTGGGGTTTGACCAGGATACAGAGCCTGAAAAGGAGAGCTGAAGGGGGAAAGGGTACTGTTTAATGTGCAGAGTAACCCTCTGCCTACTTGCCACGTTTAGCACATTTTCTAAAGTAATTGTAATGTTGCAGGTCACATTTTAGCCTGAGGTAGCGTGGCTTCAGTAGTACATTACCAGGAATGAGGAGTCAAGAGACCTGGGTATTTTTCTGGCTCTGCCACAGTCTTGCTGTGAGATTCCAGGCAAGGGATTAGGTTAAAGCTATCTGTGCCTTGGTGTCCACGTCTGTAAAATGGGACTCATATTTTTAGTTGCCTTTTTGGCCTGAACTGTGCTCAGAGCCTCTGCATTGGGTTAGCATTTCAGAGGGTGGCATAATAGCACAGGGTTTGTTTTATTATTTGTCAGAGTAATGGTTGTCTGATTTACTTCCACAGCTCGAGTTCCTAAGAAAATCCTGAAATGCAAAGCCGTCTCTCGGGAGCTAAACTTCTCCTCAGCAGAACAAATGGAAAAATTCCGACTGGAACAGAAAGTTTATTTCAAAGGGCAGTGTCTAGAAGGTATCGCTCCATTCTGTGGACAGCTGTACTAGAATGTGGTGAACTGATACTTTGTAAAATGGCTGGGATTGAGGGTAATGAGATGGGCTGAACATTGTTTTAATTTTTAAGAGTAATGTGGAGGTGGAGTGCTAGTCAGACCTAATGGGCCAGAGCATTAAAGTGACCATTTCATAAGCGTATTAACCATTATGCAAGCACGACTTGTACATGTGACCTTGTAACAGCATGATCTAGTATGCCTTGTTGTAATATTACACTTAATCTAGGGGGTATAAGAGTACCGAACCTCGCTGCCTTGTTTTATTAATTATGCCCCTACTTTGAGCTGTCCTTACATGGGAAAGTTTTTGAAGAGGGGGAGGATTTAGAACACTCTAAAGAAATCTAACTTGGCCCAATTTCTGCTGAGTTAATCACAAGAAAAGTGGCAGGACTGCCGTTGCTCTTCTGATCTGCTCCTCAAGAGCATAGTGGAGGCAGGAAGGATGTCTAGTGCAGGTTGAGTTGTACAATTCTAGTTTTTACATAGCATTTCCCTTCTGAACTTACATACAAACTGCTGGCAGAGCATGAGGTGGGTCAGTCACTAACAGCTTTAGGAGTTGGGTGTGCAATCCAGTACAGAGCAAAAGGACCAATGTGGGTTTCTTAAAAAGCTTGTGGATCTCTTTTTTCCTTCACAGAGTGGTTCTTTGAATTCGGCTTTGTGATCCCCAACTCCACAAACACTTGGCAGTCCTTGATAGAGGCAGCGCCAGAATCACAGATGATGCCAGCTAATGTTTTAACGTGAGTTGCTTGGGGTTAGAGAATCTGAGCGCGCTGGGAGGGAAGCAGTGCTTGGCATTTCCATGGGTGCAGAAGAGTAAAATTGGAGGATTGTTCAAAATGCGAAAGAGGAGGGGAGTTGTTCCTGACTTTGTCACGTTTCATACCTCCAGCTTTTGAGGGACTTCCCCATTTTCCTCTTTCCCATAGGCCTAATTTGCTTTAATAGAGCTGCTAAGACTTTTGAGAAACTGGAATTGATTTTATGTTAAATACTGGAGCTGCCTTTAAAGGTGACTGTGAAGGAGTTTTAAAAATTCTGTTCTAATGCCCTCAACATCCAGGCTAAGCAGCGACTCAGTGCATTCCCATAAAGCCAGCTGTTGCTGATTGGTTCTTGCTCTGAGATCCCTGCAGGCATTATTCAGGTGGTGTCACCCAGGGGACCTCTGTGACCTGAAGTTGGCTGCTGGTGCTTGTTTTAACACTGTATACTTTTGCCAAGCTTCAAATATTTTATCCTCTTTTGGATATAAAATAGCTTAGTTATGCAAAATAGCAAGTGAACAAAATGAAAGCCCTCTAATGACTCCTTACACGTTGGCATCCGAGGAGATCAGCAATTCATGGACTTGGATCAGGCTAGTGAGTACCAGGGCATCACTTTGAATGGGAGATTTGATGGGAAGAGAAGCCCAAAGGCAGACCCTGGCAAGCAATAATCCCTGAAAAAGGCCATCATCCCTATAGGAGCTGTCCCCAGGCTAGATATGTGCTGGCAAAACATTTCTCTCTGTCTGTCGCCAGCAGAGACAGGAGGATGTCGGAATCATCTTGCCAAGTTTAGGCAGATAGCGGGAAGCTGGTCACACCAAGATTGGTGTGCTCCTAGAAGATCCTTCTTTTAAACTTCCCCTTGCTCCCTCCCTGCCCTGATGGAAACTAGACATACAGTGAGGGAGCTGTGGTTGAAGCCACCATCTTTGATGTCACAAAAGTCTTTGACAGCGCTTTTCAGAAAGAGAAAAGCTTCTGAAGAGGGAACAGTAAGTGAAGTGGTTAGAGCAGTGCTACCTGGGAGCCCTTTTTGTGGGCACTGCAAGCAACCCCAGCTCCCAGTGAGCACCGGGGAAGCCAGACTGCAAAATCCAGAATAAAGACAAAAGCTCATTTGATGAGACACAATTCTCCCCACCCCAGGAAGCAGAAAGTTTTCAGGACTGAGCCCTATTGAGGGTGGCAAGGGTACATGAGCATTTTCCACCCCCCAGTTCTCTGTAGGTTCCAAATTCACCAATCTTACTAGGCCTCTCAGTTCTCCATTCCACGCTCCAAAGGCCTCCTAAAATTAGAGCCTTGAAACCTGAGCCAAACCCAGCTGGACCCGACTTCAAGTGTCGGATCAGGTCAGGTCTGAAAACAATCCAACCTTCTCTGGGGTGGGGTGAGTAGACTCTGTCCCCTCCTCCTGCCAGTGGGGCTGGCAGAGCAGCTGCATCTCAGCTCTTGCCGACCACCACCGCCTCACTGCATTGGGTACGCCGATGAGTAGCAGCATCTCTCACTCTACAGCACACCCAGCACTATGCCTCTGCTTTAGTATACAGAACACATACAACCACCTCCGACCAGCACAGGGTGCAGTCATACCCCAAATCTATATTCCACGTGGGACACTAGATCTTTCCACTGCGGTTCAGACAAGACACTCATGGACAGGCACTCGCTTTTAAGCATTTCTTGGGAGAATGACATCCTTGGTTGAGGTAGGTCCCCCCAGTGCTAGAGGGCATATGGGGACCTGGAAAGGAATATCAGAGTAGGACGTGTGGTGCTGCTTTTCATGTCCCCCAGTAGAGAATGAGTAACACAAGGTGACCAGCCACGCTACTACTTTACTCATGACTTCAAAAACATCGTGCAGAAGTTAACCATTCATGGGTATCGTATACATCCCCTCCCCTGCTCTGCCCTGTGACACAGCCAGTGTGACATTCAACCCAGTGAACAGAAACTGTTCATCTTTACGTGGGGGAGCAGCTCCCTGTAGGAATGCAGTGGGCAATTCTCTCATTGTCTGGGGAAAATAAGGCTGATAGCACTTTGTAAAGAATAGCCCTCCATTCTAGTCCATTGCTGATGTCATCGGGTCACAGTGCGGCTTCCCTTTGCATTATTCCTATTCTTACAATAAATATTCTTAAATAAAAGGCAGCGGGTATTGTGGGGACAGGGAGTTAGCTCAAGCCAGCAAGAGCACGGTTTGCAGCAGTATTCTGTAATTGCTTTTGTCTAATATCTCCTTCCTTTCCTTTTAATTTCCCTCCACAGTGGTAACGTTATTATAGAAACCAAGTTCTTCGATGATGACCTCCTTGTAAGCACTTCCAGAGTGAGACTTTTCTACGTTTGAGATAAGGGGGCTTTTGGGGGCTGTTTTTAGTTTTCCTCCGTACAGTTCTTGGTGCAGAACCCCTTGCCTATCCAGTGGAAGACACTTCCTGTAGGTGTGAGCCTGGGGACCAGCTCACCGGGGGTTGTGACGTTTGCCCATCAGTTATTTGGTTTTCCCCTCCGACCAAACCCAACCCTGAGAGATGCAACCATCAGCTCAGTGATGGGGGGAAATAAAGACTCTGTAAAAATGGGCAAAAAATGGTTGTGCAGAACCAACACTGTAAATTATGTTAGTTTCATCCTTTGTACTTCTCTGGATCTTGGTACGTAATCACTCATTTCCACTTGCACCTTCTCTCGGCACTTTGTTTTGGATTAAGTTAACCTTTTCCTTTCCCATGGTTAGTTTTTTATGCTTTCTCTGGATTTCTGTGTAGTGGTCTATACATTCTCATACCCTAAACTTGTAAAATAGTCTGATATTACATAATGTAATTAAAGCAAATTTCTGAATTAAAACGTTCGTACCGTCCAAAGAATGGAAACACTTTCAGCTGTGTTTTTCCCCCCTTATTTTAAAAATGTGAGTCAGTGACAGACTGCAGCTTGCAGCCCATTGTCAGCAAGCCAACGGCAGCAGAACAAAGGTCTTGTCAGCACTGCCATACTAAGTTCTTGCTGGACTCTTTGCTCCTCAAGGCTTCCTCTAAATAAGGTGAAAACTATAGCTTCTTTCCGGAAGGGCTTCCTTCCGATTCCCCACTCCAGGATTGTCTCTGTTCCTTCAACCAGTGGTTAACCTAAGCTTACTAGTTCCCTGGGCAGCAATGCACAGACGTTAGTTTATCCAAACTCCATTGGGTATGTCCAAAACCATCTGGAAAATGGGGGTTGTACTGAATAGACTAGCACTTAACATAGTCCACCATGTCCATGAACTCCAGGAAAAGAGGTGTTAGCTATGACCACTTTCTTGAGTTTACTAGAGACTGAAATGCTGTACTGGGGGCTCTGTTTGGGCGACAGTGGCTAACATCAAGTGCTAATGTGTGCCCAGCTTTGATGGTATATGGGGGCATGTAAGAGAGGCTACAGGAGACCCTGGCCACAGCCAGTTACTTCCACTAGGTGGCTTATACACAGGACTCACTTTCTTATTTCTTGAAAGGGGGACCCTGCCCTTTGTGGGCCTTCTTAAGTCTCTTCTGATGGGGATCAAAAGGAAGTTAAATGTCCCAGCACACCCAAGAATAACTTCCCAGAGCCAACTGAAAGGGAAAGAGGCCAACAGTACTTTCTTACTTCAGGGCTGTCTGTATAGCAGTTTTCAAGGAGTCCTGGCTGGGTGGCTGAATGGGGCTCTCTCTGTGGGGCTTACCCTGGGAATCTGCTGCATTCCCTGTAGAGTCTGGGTGGAGAGCTTCTGGCTGGGAGCTCCACCTGTGGCCTAAGGAATCACTTCATCCATTTCCTACTCAGGGTGATCTCCCCTCTACCATACATGATTGACAGGGGCAGGGCTTGCCCCACACACTGGGCCTCTCTGGGGCCTTCCTTCCTCCTCAGTGTGGGCCTATCTACCGCCCCACAGGGCAGTTCTGCTGCAAAGGGCTTTTCCAAACATACATACACTCACTCACAGCTCCTGTTGCATTTCTTATCATTAGCCATCTTCATTCCCTTAGTAATCTTAAATCTTGCACAGCCTGTGCCTTCAGTTTCTGCTCCCAGACCTCACTGGCAGTTTTATGATTAGTGGAGATTGATGAACTTAACTAGGAGGATTGTGAGGTCAAACCATCCCGTGAATGGGGACTGATTGATAAGAAAATGATAGGGAATAAGAGAAATGCATCATTTCAGCTCCTGAAATTGTTAATCTGGGAGAAGAAAGTGCATTATCCCCAGCAGCAGCTTCCTCCAAATGTGGTGGAGCCTGCTGGACCTGTGGGGCAGAGCATTCCCCAACTAGGCCATCCCTTAGGAGGGGACCACGACTGTTTGAAACACTAGTATGTCAAAGCACACTATGAAACTGCCAGTGTGCGATAGTTGGGTCCACATGGTCCACATGCTTCTGTGCTGTAGATTCACACTTTGGCTTGCTGTACACGAAATCACCGTGTAGACAAGCTCCGAGAATCATTCAGTGGGGGATTGGGAGAGGAGAGGTGGGGATATGTGCAGGGTTGGGGGTGGGAATCTCCATTTGGTAGCAGTTTGCAAATTGGAAGGAGAGTCACTTTAACCAATGAAATGTAAAGCCTGTGCCAAGCAGGCTCGCCGCCTGGTGCAAGGTCCGAGTTCAGGCACACATGCCCCAAAGCCAGCAGAGTCCTAAGGCTCTAGGTAAGTCACATGTCAAGTACCCAGCTTATAGCACGGCCTCCCATTTTCAAACCCAAAATACCCCACGTATCCCAGGTAAAATTACAGCACACTGCTGCTTACCACTGTCCCCCTTGTAAACAGGTTTAGCCCACTTCAGTGTTTACATGGAGCTATATTGTGATGTTTACCACTATGCCTCCAGCTGGGAGTTCAGGCAGAGTTAGCCAGTGACTCGCTGCAGAGGCAGCTTCTTGTCAACAAGACAAGCTACAACCTAGTGGCAGGGAGCATTTTTCAGATTAATCAAATAGGAATGCACCTGATTTTTAAAAAAGCCTCTCAGTTTGTGGGGCCTGTAATACCTGGGATATTCGTCTTCACACTCTTGAGCTGATGCTCCTATTGAAACAGTCTTTGTGTGATTGCCTCCGTGGAGAATTGCACCTGTTCCAACCTGTTGCTATGATGGCAGCTTTTAAATAGCGTCCCACTGGCATCAGGTGCTGGTGTGCTCTTGCATGTGAGCTGTCCCTGTGGTTGAGGTTTCCGTGACGCCCACGCAGGAAATGCAGCAAGACAAGGAGCTGGGGAGGTAGGCCTGACGGTTTGACTTTGTTTCTCTGTAACGGAGGTGCGTTTCGTTAGGTGTGAAATAGAGGCTGATTAGACAAGGCTCCAGCAGCACAGGGCTGCTGGCCAAGCATGGCGCCCTCTACGCCTGCACTGCCGCCAATACAGCGTACTGTATGGTGCAATTGCCTAGGAGTAGCTTGCCCAGGATGTATAAGGCCTTCAGCTTCTCCATCTTAACCAAGGTGACTCTGTTGCCTGCCTGAGGCAGTGATTATGCCACTGTACTGGGCCGTGCCCTGGTGAAGCTCTTTGGGGCAGGGACTAGGCAGGTAGTTGGTGTAGTAAGTGAAGGCCCCGATAAAGGCCCAGTATCAGGCCTGAGGCCTGAACTAAAGTAATGGTCAAAACTTTGCTAATATAAAGCAAAGTTAAGCTGTGAGCCAGCTTACAGTTGGCACCCAACACAATGGGCCCCAATCTCGGCTGGGGACTCGGGGTACCGGAGTGATGTAATTAACTTGCACCGGTGTGCATGGCACGGTTTCTAGGTGAGTGTAATGCTGGTGAAGGATGCTTCATTGACAGCCCTGGAGCCAAGTTTCTAGCACAGGGGTTCTCGTCCTCTTCCCCCTGTCCATCTAGCCAGGACCCCTCCTACTTAGCAACATGGGAAGGGGAAGGTTGTGAGCCCCACGACTGAAACCTGTGCTTTAGCTACCAACAGGCGGTGGTGGTCCAAGCCCTCTGCATACCACGCTACCTCAAGCCTACCCGCGTTTCAGGGGCAGCACTTCTCGGGGAAGCCGACTCCCTCTCCGCTAAAGGCTGAGTTTGAGCTTCAACTCATACTGCAAAACTGTCTTCCTGGTTTAGGCTGGGCATGGCCATGTTAAAGGGAAAGGTCCCACTGGCGTCATTAGGAATTTTGATGCTGGGTCCTTTGCTAGCTTCGGACAGAAGCTAGATCCCTGCCTTCCGGGAGCAATGTAAGCTCTTCAGCTTTGGAATCAAAGCGGTCGGCGACTGCTCGCAAGCAGGCCAGTTGTGCTGGAGGGTTGATGTGATGGGGAGCGCTGTTCATCAGTAAATGGCCACTAAGCACGAGCCTGGTCTTAAACTCCTCCTGGTCCGAGAGTCGGACGTCATGCCAGGCTGGGGGCGAGGCTCTATCACATTGTCACCCAGGGCCCCCCTTTCAGAGCTCAAAAAGGCTTTAGCCTGGAATCTTCTTCACCCCCTTCCAGTCAAGTGTGGAATGGCTGCACCCTCCACCCCTACAGCAAGGTCAGCGGTGCCCTGCCGGCTGCGAGCCAGGTTTCTCTGGAAAATGCAGGCGTTGGCACTCCCCGTGTTCTGATGCATTCTTGTTTAATTGCACACGCCATGATGCTTCTGCCTTCAGTCTGGCCTGGGCATTAAAATGACAATTAACCCAGTGTCCTTGCACCGACCGAAAGCCAGCTGTTTTTGTGCTGTGTGTGTTACTGCTGCCCTCTTGTGGTACTATGGAAAATAGCTCACACCAGCGCGTTCTTTCCTGGTACTCTGTACAACAAGGATCAGTGAGGGTAAACCCCCATTTGTGTATTCTGCTGTAAACTGCCCACTAGTGAGCCTTCTGGGGGCACTTACCGCAAGGTGTTGGGTTTTTTAACAAATATTTTTTAGTGACCAAAAAAAAAAATGTGTCCAACCAAACTCCTCTCACCCAGCTGCAAAAACCCCAGCCAAGAGCCGAGCCTTTCAGCACATCCAATGTGAGGTCTGGCAGCAAGCAGGATCCAATGGCCCTTTCCTGAGCCATACAAACTAGGCCTGAGGCTCACGCTTGAGCTCAACTATGTGGGAGGAAGGTGGCGAACCTCTGCAAGCCTCCGAGCAGACAGGGTTTTGTGTGTCAAATACCAGTGTGCTGTAATCCACCAAGAAAAGGCCACATGGTATCTAGAGCACAGCGTGAAGTGCGCTGCGATGGAATGATCACCAGCAGCTCTATCTGGCACCCCCTGGCGTTTGAGTGCGGTTTGGGTGTAGCCGCAACGCGAGCACATCCCTCATCCAATCAGGCGCTGAGACCGGGGCAGCATGGAGAACTGTAGCCAGACTGTCTCAACAGGAGTTGTGATCTGGATCCTCAGGTGCCTTGAAATCAATGGGCATTGGGCACCTAAATACCTATGTGCATAACCTGTTTAGGTGCTTTCATAACCCCCACTAGGTCCCTAGCTGCATCTTTAGGCATCTTTGTATACCAGCGTCTCCCCTCAAGATCGTAGCTGCTCAGGGCCTGGGTACAAATGTGCCAGGCACTTTCAGAACCTCTGGGTGGAATGCTGGCCCAGCTCCAAGCAGATCAGCTGGTCTTGTCCCCGTTCTTGCCTCCGGCAGGATCTGCTGTTGCAGATGTGACTCACCTTGGTCTGAATCCAAGCAATTGTAGCAGTCGGGCGGGCGCTCTGGGGTGGGAACAGCTGGCAGGAGCTTAGAGAAATGTTAACTGACGGAGCCTCACAACCAGTTCGCAGGCCGGGCCCATTTTCCAGCAAGAGAAATTGATCACGTGGCACTTCTGTGGTGGTGATTGGTAGAGAGCAAAGATCCTGACATCCAGTCCTATGCTTTCCCCCCCCAGACT